AGATATGATTTATGGAATTAAGAGTTTCTGAAATTTAAATAATAATATTACAACCATTTTTAATGATTTAGAAAAATAGCAAAGAGAATAAACTTTATATAAAGATTATCCAAATTTCATCTAAACCTTTGAGAAAACTTTGGTTCCATCTTAATAAGTAGAGTAAAGGAGTAGGATATTTACATTTATATATTGATGTTACTATTTCCTCAATATGTTCATCTTTTTATATGAAAATCATTGACCTTATGAAAAGGATATTTTTATTGGAAAAAGTCATCATCTTATTTTAACAAGTTATAACTATAAAAGGATCTTACTTTTAATATTTTTATTTATTTTTTTTATATTTGAAAAATGTTGATTCTAGATTTAAAAATGAATGGTTTGGATTCTATTAGGTAAAGAGGTCTTTTAGTCATCTATGTATTTTTAATCTCATTTCTTGCCAATTCTCATATTCAGTCCTCCGTTTGGATTTAGGCTATATCGCTAATCTGTCAAACTCAACTGACTGAATCGCTGAAAATCCCTCCCCTTACTAGATTTCAATATAATTTCATTATTTTTATAATGGCTCATAAAATTTTATCTTGATTTTAATAGCATTTAAGATCATAATTTAAGCAAAAGAATTAAACTTTTATCAAGATAAAGTTATTATGAACTATTTAGAGAAGATCTCAAAAGTAAATCTAAAATAGTTTAAAATTATCTAAAGCACAAATAAATTACTTATTTTTGTATTAATCTTTATTTTTTAAAAAGAAGCGTATTTGAAAATTCATATATATAGAACATACTTATATGAAATTAAGGATTCATCAAAGTGCTTATATAATCAATTATTCTCTTCTTAATATGTCAGTGCTAATTACTAAACTCTATGAAGCTCACCTTAATTTTCTTATTTATAATTGAACTTATAATCAATATCTCTTTTAAAACAATTTGGTTTTTATTGAAAGAAATTACCCAAACCTTTAATTAACTTTAGAGATTACTAGTAAATAGAACAAATTGGATGAAGTACAAGGATATCATACAATTTACCATATAATAATAATAATTTGATTTTGAATAATATGTATCATATTGGCCAACCCTTTGGTAGATCGAGGGCCAAACTCGATGGGCAGGAGTGTTTTAATATATCGCTCCAGCTGAAATTGTTGTAGCACATTGGGCAGGTCATAATATCATCAAATGCAATCCTTGCTAGTCCCTTCAATTCCTCTTCTAATATGCATCGATCAAACTTTTTTATTAG